AGTAACTAGAGTGCTAAGTAGTCAGTAACTGGAAGGTTTTGTAACTACTTGCCCACCCCCTGGCTAAATTGGACTTATAACCTAGGTTATAAGTATACCTAACATACTTATAACCTTGGTTGTAAGTCTGCTAACTTCTATTAGGTTTAGCTCTGACTTAGCTTTGACTTAGCTCCAGCTATAGGACTTATAAGTGGATAGTTTTGACTTAGCTAAGTCAAAGCTAAGTCAGCTAAACTTTAATGTCAATTTAGCTTAGATATATAAGTCACTTATAAGTCAAAGCTAAGTCAAGTCTAAGTCCAAGCTAACTCCAAGCTAAGTCCAAGCTAAGTCCATGTTAAGTCCACACATTTTTTTGACCATTTGAACATATACATAGATATATATATATAATTTTGTTTTTCTATTTTTTTTTGAAATTTGTGCTGCGGCTCTGCCGTACATTTTTTCATAGATATACGCACAAATATGTATATATCTATCTGGTTCATATATCGATTGTTTTTGGCGGCTGAGACGCACATTGGCGGAAAGATTGACCGATGAGAGCAGCGAACACGTACGATGTCTATGTCAAATTGACATGTTAGTTCGTTGCAGGCCACCTTGCAACACGCACAGTTTGCATTGTGCAAACATTCTTCATTGTTCAATGTCTGTGCCTTTATGTTGCATTCACCATCCCTGCGCGGCCCACAGGGATCGAACAGGTGAGTGGAGGCGCTTTTGCGGCGCTTTGTTTTTTCGAAGATGGCCTTGCAGGATTACCAGCACCTCGGCCAGTATGTGACGGAGAATCTCATGCGCGAGATCGGCCGCCGAGGACAACTTTCATCGGTGCAAAAAACCGACGCAATTTGTGTCTGGAGCATGAGTCTAGGCCTGAGGAAGCCGTCGGAACCGACGCTGCAAACGCTGGTGGCTTTGAAGCTACACTTGGGTGGCGGCTTTGAGGACGCGCAGGCCAGTGGCCAGGACATGTTCGACCTCCTGAAGGTGTTTAAGAGTCACTGGAAGAAAATGGTCTCCGTAAACACCAACCACGCCTTGGAGTACGTGCCCTTTCTCCCCGCCTCTCCGGCAGAGTTCGCAGAGAGCTACCCGTCCACTTGGAGCGACTTTAGTGGGGTGCGTGGGAACGAGCTCGTGGACCTGGACGAGCGCTGGCATCTGCAGCTGGCTTCGCTGAAAGCGCAAATCCCCATGAGGAGGACTCACTCGTTGGTGGAGCGCGGGGATCCGAAAGGGAGAAGCGCGGGATCCCACAAAGCGCATGAAGTGTTTGAGCAGTTCATGGACTTGTTGGAGGGGAACGCAAGCTCGCTGCAGCGCAAGAACTCTCTGCGTCGCCGCCTGTCAGAGAAAAGTCCAGACCCCAGGAGCAAGGTCCAGCAAGCGTCGGCACTCCTTGACCGCTTGCAAACCCAAACCCAAGTGCCCAGTCACGCAGCCCCAGCACGCCAGACGCAGTCCGTGGCAGAACCAGCTCCAGCACACTCGGCACCACCCGTGCAGATCCCCTTGGTCGACGCCCACAGCGCACATATGCCAGTGCAGAAAGAAATGGCTCTCGTCCTACAGCCTCCAAGTGATGTGGACGAGGATGTGGATCGCCCCGAGACAGAGCCGGAGACCAAGGCTACCTTCCTGGCAGAGGCTGAGCATGCAGCAGACACGGCTCTGGCTGCCTTGGATGCGGTCGCAGGTGTGCAGAAGAAACCTGCCATGGACGCGCAACCCGTGCGAAAGACAATGCCAACCCCTCAGAAGCTGGATCCCGAACAGACATCGGAGCCCCAGCCAAACACCAAAAAGCCGAGCCAGAAAAACCGCAAGCAGCCGAACCAGACCAAACCCAAGTCTGCACCAACGAAGAAGCCGGCCAAGAAGCAACCAACCAAGAAGACCGCCCTGCAGAAGAAGCCCAGCACGGCCGCGGCTCTACCGAAGGCACCTGCATCGCTGATGCTACAATTTAGGAAGGGTTGCGCGAAGTGTCGTTACCAGGCCAAAGGCTGCTCACCGTCCTGTTGGCGGCAGCGAGGCTACTCGATTTGATTGCCGACCTCACCTGTCAGCAAGAAAAAACAAACACGCTCAAACAGAAAGTCCGTAGATGTATGTAGAGGTAGCTTTTATCTACATGTACTGTTTTGTTTGCAGAATATTTGTTAGACTGCTAATTAGATCTATCCAACTATAGAATGGAAGAAGGCCTCAGTCCACAAAACATAGACGCGTCTATTGAATTATCTAGGTCGAATCGTCGCCTGTTGGGTTGGTGCAAACACTCCCTCCCGATTGCGGCGCTGCCGTTCACTGATTTTTTGCTCTACGGCGTAGCCGTTTTTTTTTGTTTGTTTTCTGGCTACATTTTTGGTTGCCATGATAACTATATATATATATATAGACATCACTTTTGCACATAATCACATTATGTGTTTAATTTGCATTTTGCTATATTTGTATCGCTTTGTCGCGTTACCCCTGGCGGAGGACTCTTATCCGACAATGAATTTTGGCTCCATACAGGACGCAATGTCCTCCAGCGACAGTTCGTACTCGGTGACAGTGGTGCCGGCGCGCATCCACCTCAATATCACCTTGCGCAAGAGGAGGCGGCAGCGGCGGGACACTTCTGGCTCCGACAGACCGCGAAGACGGCCAAAACACCGGCACGGGCGCAAACACAAGAAGAAGCGACAGAGATCCCGCAGACGGCGACGATC